GGTGATCCCGGGTGTCCCCAGGTGATCCCAGGTGTCCCCAGGAGTGTCCCCAGGTGATCCTGGGTGTCCCCAGGAATGTCCCCGGGAATGTCCCCAGGAGTGACCCCAGGAGTGTCCCAAAGTGTTCCTAGGAGTGTCCCAGGTGTCCCCAAATGATGCCGGGTGTCCCCAGTAGTGTCCCCAGCAGATCCCAGAGGTCCCCAGGAATGTCCCCAGGAGTGTCCCCAGGTGATCCCGAATGTCCCCAGGTGATCCCGGGTGTCCCCAGGAGTGTCCCCAGAAGATCCCGGGTGTCCCCAGGAGATCCCAGATGTCCCCAGGAGTGTCTCCAGGTGATCCCGGGTGTCCCCAGCCGATCCCGGGTTTGTTTTTCCCAGATCCCAGGCTGGAATTCCGGGACGGGGCTCAAAGGGCGGAGCGGCCCCGCCTGGGCCGGCTCCGGCTCGGCCTGGAGCCATTCCCTGATCCAAGCCCGACATCTCTGGGATGAGCCGGGAATTTTCATGGGATAAAATCCAACCGCGAGGCTGCAGCCTCGTTCCCGCTCCTGTCCCCGATATTCCCCAATCCCACAGAATTCCCGTCCCTCTGGCTCGTTTTTCCAGGACCAGATTCCCAGAGAGCGATCAAATTCCCTTTTCCCGAGGCTCGGCCCCACTCCGGCTTTTCCCGGAGCTGGCGGGGTTTTCCCGGTTTTCCCTGGGATCCCACCGGGATCTGCCTCTGGAATAACGCCGGGAATCAGGAGCCACGCGGGGAGAGGGAAAATTCCTGGAGGCTCAAAATTTGGATTGGGATTTCCAGGGAGTTTTCTCCTGGAGATTTCCAGCCCCCTGGAATGGGATGGGATCCATAAAAATCCACAATTCCCAAACCATTCCAGCTGGGAATCCCATAAATCCACGTGGGATTCCCACCCCAAACATCTCCATGGGTTTTGGGATCTGTCCTGCTTTTTTTGAGAATTTCCATGGGATGGGGTCCTGTTCCGCTTTTTGGGAGAATCTCCGAGGGTTTTTGGGAAGCGTTTCCATGCGATTGGCTTTTCCCGGGATGTGCTGGATCTCTGTTTGTCGGGATGAAGGACACAGCTCGGACACAGCCAGGACACAGCCAGGACACAGCTCGGACACAGCCAGGACACAGCACGGACACAGCTCGGACACAGCCAGGACACAGCTCGGACACAGACAGGACACAGCTCGGACACAGCTCAGGGACATTTTCCTCCCTCGCTGTGAGCAGAATTCCCTTGGGATCACTCGAATTCCCTTGGGATCACTCGAATTCCCTTGGGATCACTCGAATTCCCTTGGGATGTCCCCGGGATCTCTGAGTCCCTTCCATGGAGCGGTTCCTCGCCTCCTCATCCCTGTGCTGTTTTTGGGATATACAACGCTGCAGCTCCCGCTGCTCCATCGGCAGATCCCTGCTGCCACCACGTGGATTCGGCCGGGATGGTTCGGGAAAAGATTCCCGGCTTTTTCCCGTTATCCATCCATCCATCCATTAATCCATTAATCCATCCATCCATCCATCCATC